CTCAAAGTCCTCCAGCAGAGACATTCAGAAGATACAGACAGGAGCAGATACTCACTAAAAATTTCCAAGCATTTAGAGATGGAGAGATGGCTCAGTGAGTAAACTGCTTGCTGTGCAAATGTGAGGACTAAAGTTTGGATCCCCAACACCCATGGAAATGCTAGATGACCATGGAGGCCTGCCTATAATCCCAGCATATAAGAGGTAGAGACAGGGGATTCTCAGAGCAAGCGAGCTATCCAGACTAGCCAAACTAGCAAATTGTCTCAGTTTAACAGAGAAGCCCTGCCTCAATATGTAAGGTGGAGAGGAATCAAGACAGACACCCAATGTAACCTTGGGCCTCCACCTCTCCAAATGCATCTATACCAAGCATACCTACCCACACACGTGTACAAACACACGTGAACATTCTTGTATTTTTAAAGCATTTGCATAAACTGAAATATTTCACTTGTATACTAGGCTATATATTACAATTCTAATTTTGCAGCCTTTTATGAAAACTGTCATATTTTAAATATTAAATGTATTAAAATTCACAACTATGAAAGGAGAAAGAGTCAATACAAAAGCCAGTGATGCATAAGACTAATCTAAAAGTAATCTAAAAGTAACCACTAGACACATCTGAATTCCTTTACCTTTCTGGGCTGCAGGTGGACTCACCTGATAGATTAACCACCAAATTTAAATGAAGAGGAACAGTTTCTCTCAGCAAACAAGCTTCCTACTACTCCTTGTAAGACAGTGATGCTTTCTCTTAACTTAGGAAAGTATTTAGTTCTCATTCTCCTCTGTGACACTGCTGAAGACAAAAGGTGGGTTCCTACCTGGTAACACATCATCCTGCTGTCATTCATCAATCTCTCCTTCTAACCACTTAATATTTAGAACTGTGTATTCAGAGACACGCATAACCATGTGGGAATGAGCAACACTGCAGAGATAAAAACTGACCTAACTGAAAGAAATCAACTAATAATAAACGACATAAACTCAAGCCAAAGTTAGCATTTTCTAGAAAGGCATGAGTAATTTTTAGTTTCTATGACAGCAGATAACAAATGACTTATGTTTTATGTAATTTTTTCCCCTCCTGGTGCTAGGGATTGAACCCAGGGCCTGCTAGATGAGTACTTTACTACTGACCTACATCCACAATCAACAAACATCTTTTACTAAATCTTAGGAAGGGAGGGCAAGAGGCAAAGGTATGTGTGAGTTTGAGAGCAGCCTGGTCTTCCATACCAGCTGCAGGCTAGCCAGGGCTACATGGTAAGATCCTGTCTCAAAAAGAGAAAGAGAAAAAAAAAACCAGAGTGAAATAAAATGATTTTCTAAACATTCACAGAATTTCAGGTGAATGATGGCTTCCAGTGCTGAAATGGTTTGAGGAAAAAGTAGTAAACACACACACACACACACACACACACACACACACACACACACACAGAATGATTTATTTGTTAATTAATTGATTGATTAATTAATTAATTAATTAACGTGTCTACACACACACACCTATGAACTGTGTGTGTGTGTGTGGAGATCAGGAGACAACCTGCAACAGCTGGTTCTCTCCTTCTGCAGTGTGGGTCCTAGGGATAAAACTCTGGTTGTTAGGCTTGGCAGCAAATGCCTTTACCTGCTGAGCCATCTTGCTGGCCCCGAGTGGGTTTTGTAACATTCTCCCACAATAATGAATACTACCTGTACATTTCTTTTTCATAGTATGAATTTGATTTTTAAAGTATTTTATTTGGCATTAAAGCCAAAAGAAAAAGGGAAGTTAACTGACCTACTGGGAAAAGGAGAAGTCATATTGAGCAAGAGACATCTGCAGTAGGCAAACCGTAGCTTTGTGAATATCAGACCTGGATCCCACAGTTAGTAGTGTATAAACCAAACATTCATACAGAGAGTTATTGTTCTGTTTGTTTGTTGGAGACAGGGCTTTGCTATGTAGTCCAGACTAGCCATGAACTCAGAATCTTCCCACCTGTACCACTTGACAACTGGGATTACAGTTGTGTATCACCATGCTCTGCTTAAAACTAATTTTAAGGCCGGGCATGGTGGCACATGCCTTTAGTCCCAGGCAGAGGCAGGTGGATCTCTGTGAGATCGAGGCCAGCCTGGTCTACACAGTGAGTTCCATGCCAGCTGGGGCTACAGGGAGACCCTGTCTCAAAAAGACACCTCCACCCCAAAATTAATATCCTCCCTTATAACCATCCTTATCTTTATACCATATTATATAAACTAGTTCATAATAAAGAAATATTAAGTTTCATAAGAAAGAAAATATTAAGTTTAAAACAAGCAACATGTATGGCACAGCATGAAGGAAAACTAGTTATAATTAGCATTGTTAATCATTTTATTTCAACTAATTAATCTGTGCTGGAGACTGAACCCCGGGCCCTGGAAATGCTAGGAGGTATGTGCTCTACCACACATCCTCAGCCCACTATTTGTCATCAGAAATTTAAAAAAGGTATCATCTAATTATGCTGGAAAAATTAAGAACAAGGTTAATATGACTATCAGTTTTTAAGAGAGACAATTTATTCTGAGTCAATTACTGTAAAGAAGAAAATTTAACTGGCTTACACATGGTTATTGCAGTGGGCTTTTTCAAAATGCTTAATCATCTTGGAATTCCATTCTAAACAAGGTATGATTCTATTTGCTCCTCTAAAGCAAGGGATTTTAAAAAGTATTATTTTTATTTTATGCATATGAGTGTATTGCCTGCAAGTATATAAGTATGCCTGTGTCGTGTAATAACCAGAGGTCAAAACAGAGTGTCGGATTCCCCTGGAACTGCAGCTGTAGATGATTGCTAGCTGCCATGTGGGTACTGGGAAAAGAACTCGGGTCCTCTGGAAGAGCAGCCAGTGCTCTTAACCACTGAGCCATCTCTCCAGCTTCCAGAAGCAGGGGATTTTTTTTTTTTTTTTAATGCTACAAATTCTTTGGTCCAGCAAGGTGTGGTAGTAGCATGCTTTTAATAACCAGTATTGACTGGCGGATCTCTGTGAGTTGGAGGCCAGCCTGATTTACAAAGCAGGCGTCAGGTCAGCTGGGGCTGGAAAACCCTGTCTCAACAATCCCCCCAAATTCTTTATTAATCTTCTGAGTTCTCTATCTCTCTCTCTCTCTCTTTTTTTTTTTTTTTTTTTTTTTTTTTGAGACAGGGCCTAGAACTTGATGTGTAAACCAGGCTGGCCTCAATCTCAGAGAGATCCATCGCTTCTGCCACCTGCGTGCTGGGCTCTAAAGAAACACACCATCATGCCTGACTGATTCCTTTTAAAAAGTCAAGTCAGATATCTTACTAGCCATAAAATGTGTACTGGAACAGACTGTGACTACAACATGCACACTTTAGATTCCAGAAAGACCAAGAGGTGAGAAAGGTGACCTCCAATTCTAAAGACTGACTGTCACAGAATGAAACTTTCTGAGGTGACGGCAAGTACTTAATTTACCACCAGAAGTCTAAAAACAGATTAAGTAAAGAAAATGGAATATTTTAAACAAATGTGCCAAAATGAGTTATTAAAGAAAGGAATGGTGCTGAGGGTAAATGAATCCACAGAAAACCAACATACTGAAATGGCACAAAATAAGGTAGCTTTTCAATTCCTGAATGCTTTAGAAAAACATCTAAAAGTGACTTAAGACCACCACTGCTAATATAAAACATACTGTGGAAGACCAGTGCACCTTCATGCAGCCCTCACTGCCCAAACTGGCAGTCGGTGACGATGGGCTTATACTGGGGAGAGGCAGACCTGAAGCCCTGAGCCAATCTGACCCTAGGATGACCTGAAACCACAAGTCTTCAAAACACCAGGTGGCTAAGACTGTAATCCCAGCACTCAGGAGGCATAGGCAGGAAGAGCTCAAAGCTAGCCTGAGCTACACAGTGAGGAGAAAGAAAGGGAAGGAGGGACAGGGAGAGAGAGGAAGGGGAAAGAAGAAGAAAGAAGGAGCAAATCGAGAAGGGGGGATTATGGATATGAATGAATGAGAATACCTTAGAGGCTATAAAAGCCTCACAGTGGGGTTAACAGAAGAAAACAAAACAAAGGGAATTGGATTCCCAGAATTTGGCCTGGAAGCACATCAGCTGAGGGAAATGAATGACTAAGTTGTATATGAAATGAATGAACACAGAGAAGTTAACGACAGTTTAAAGGAAGCCCAGAGGTGAGAGAGGCCTAAAGAATACCACAGTGGTCCTGAGCCCTGCTCACTCCTTCAGGAAACGAGAGGGATAACTTACTTTCAGAGCCTGCAGTTATTTCTAAATTTTCCCCTCTGAAATTATACATATGCCTATGAATCCATTGTTATTTTCTTATTTTTTTTCCCATGAAAGAAGTTAAAACTAAATATATACACTAGTAAAAAATTTATTTTCATAAATGTAGGGGCCCACATTTAAGTAATGAAGTATAAAACTCAACTTCATCTTCCAATTTCTTTTCAAATGCCTCCTACAGAGTACAGGAGTCTTGTGGACATGAGACAGAGGAAGAAACTTCCTACACAGAACAGGACCTAGAGTCCTCCAGCACGCTCCCTTCTTCCCACTCTTTGGTCTCTTCAGACCCTCCTTATTTTCCAGGTCACCCCAGCTTTACCCTCCACAACAGTGTCTCTTACAAAACAAGCAAAACAGCTTTTAAGCAGGCCTAATTTCTTCATTTTCTGTCACTTTTTAACTAATGCAATTTAACAAGAACACTGACCAAAAAACTCACCTAAAATTTCATCAAAGCAACATTGAAAACAGAGAAACTAGTTTCCTTCGTCTCAATTTTGCTTTTCCGTGCAACTGCCTGTTTTTAGTCACTAAGGACGCAGCCCCAAGCCAGGTGCATGAGACCCACAATCTAAGCACAACAGCATAACAGCTTTCCTAGCCTCTACCCTCCCCGCCCCAAAAAAGAAAGAATTGGGAGAAGGGGAGAAATCACACTTACGAGTCCACTTATGGCTACAATCCAGATGTAGGAACCAGAGGTGAAAAGCTACAAAAGAAAAAATAAAAGGCAACTAAAAATGAAATTCAACTGCCAGCCATAGCATACTTATTTTTATACAATTATAGTCATGACTATTGGTATTATGTATTATTTATAAATGCCATAGTCCAGGGATGCAATCAGAAAGTTAAGGAACACCAATTCTGTTTATTTAAAAGAAAATAATAAATTAATTTTTTAACCAGGACTCCAGACTTTCTGTAGCTGATAACTGGCCCCTCCCATGCAAAGAAAAATAACTTAATTTCAGGCATATTTTTATTTACAAACGGATCTTAGTTGACTTAAAGTAAAAAAGGATAAATAAATAATTAGAATTACCAATGCAAAAACATGTCATCATCATCCATACTTGATGTCAGGTAATGGTCTATGAGATCTATTTTTACAACTTTCTTATTTTCATTTCTTATATTACTTTGTCTCAAGTTAGATGGGAAGAATTTGCCTGCATATAGGTTCATGCCCAATGATACCCTTCTTAAGTGCTGAATATCTTCATTCTAGTTCACTTAAGATTAGAGTAAGCTAATAAAAGCAAAGTTAATTAATGCAAAGGTATAAAGGTAATTTGAATTAGACCCCATGAAATGCCTTCATTTGTTTTCCAAATAATCTATATCTGAGAGTTGTGCTCGGAGTTTAAGAAAATCAAATGTGTCTAAGTGTCTCTGTAAGAATGAATTGATTTTGTGGCTTGGTGCTTATTTTTCAGAAGTTTAGGTTGGAAGTTACAGGATTTCTCATCCTGGAGGAAGGAGCTGGATACTGAAGCAGTGTAGCCCAGGTTCACTGCTGACATTGTGCTAGATGGAAATGTCTGGGCTCTGTACACCTAACACGGACACACAGAATGCAGACAGATGAAGAAAAGTGAGGCAAGGAAGAGGGAAAGGAGGCTGTAGGCATTGTTGCACCCTAGCACTGGCTCAGAGGAAAGGAGCACTGGCTCAGAGGAAAGGAGCACTGGCTCAGAGGAAAGGAGCACTGGCTGCCACTGTCCACTTAACCTTTCATCTGGCATGAAACCTGGTCAGTGTAAACTTGGCTCTCACATACCATGATGAGAACTATGTGTTCTCTTCTCAGATGGAAGAGTCATAAACTAGCCATTACTTTCTACAGGAATTGCTCTGAAGCTTTTCATAAACCAAATCAGACTCCTTATCACCCAAAGAGGAAAGTAAACAGAGTGGCTAAGTAACTTGCCCCAAGTCACACAGCAATAGGAGGTGGAAGTAGTGTGTGCCCTTCCCTTCAGCTCTGTGCCTGCCACCCAGCTAATCTCATAAACAAGACTCTGCCATTTTGTCAGTAGAAGAAGAATCCCTTTGGACTCTGAAGTCCCTTGCCATACTGCCATGTCTGCCTGTATCCTGGAAAGGTGTGAGTGTTCCTCAGGGTTAACTCCTCAAGAGCAGGGGCCGTAACACATACTCCATCTTTAACCCATCATCCCATGGTTTACATACATGCTTCGAAAAAGCATTCTGTTTCTTCCAATGATTAACGCCATTTACTCACACATTCATCCATTCATTCACCCATCAAATATCCCTGTTTCAAGTGGCTGTAATGGGAAGAGGGAAAGTTACAGAAATATGAATGAAAGGTGCTGGGGAGATGGTTCAGTCTGTAAAGTGCTTGTTGTATGTGCTGGATCACTTAGTTGTCAACATGACACACATCGGAAGAAGGAACTTTCAACTGAGGCATTTTCTTATTTGCTATTTGATGTGGGAGGGCCTAGCCCATTGTGGATGATGCCACTACTAGGCAGGTGGTCTAAGTTGTATAAGAAAATAAACTGAGCACAGACCAAGGGGAGAAAACCAATAAGCAGCATTCTTCTGTAGTCTCTGCTTCAGCTCCTGTTTCCAGGTTCCTCCTTGAGGATGGACTACTGCCTGGAAGAGTAAGATGAAATAAACCCTTTCCTCCCCAGGTTGCCTTTGGTCAGTGTTTTATTACAGCAATGGAAACCAAACTAGAACATCATACCATATAAGCATAAGGTCTCTGTTTGGATCACCAGGAGCCACATAAAAAGCTGGCATGATGGTATGTGACTGTAACCCCAGTACTGGGGCTCTGGGGGAGTTGGAGACAGCTGGAACCCTGAAGCACATTGGCCAGTCAGTCCAGCTCAATTGATGACCTTAAGTAAGAGACCCTGTCTCAAATAAGAATAAAGATGTAGACTAACAAGTATATCACACACACAATCACACACACACATGCACGCACGCATGCACGCACGCACACACACACACACAATCACAATGCATGAAAGCCCTCTGTGGGGAAAGGAAAAGGTAAAAACTTTAGCCACCTTGCCTTCAAAGTGGGGAAGGATGTTAGTGGTGTTGGATAGGCAAGAGAAAAAGCAGGATATCATTCATGCTAAGGACTAGATTGTATCAAGAAGCCCATCAAGGGGCTGGAGATATGGCTGAGAGGGTAAGAGTACTGGCTGTTCTTGCAGAGGACCAGGGTTTGGTTCCCAGCATCCATATGATGGCTAACAACTGTAACTCCAGTTCCAGAGTATTGCACCTGCATGACCCACATGGTACACCTACATAATATGCAGGCCCTGTAATCAATAAAACAGTTTTTTTTTCCATCTTCAATGATTCTAACTTCAGAGCTGGGAGAACTACACAGTCAACATGAGGCTCAAAGGGATCCCAGAACTTGACACATATTTTATGGTCAGTGAGAGCTGTAGTAGAACTTGGTCTGATTGTATGGAGGGTGAGAAAAGAGGAATAAACACACTTCATGAAAGACGATTGTGAAAGTGGTAAGGAAACACCCACTCCAGATGAGCCATTGATAGCACCAGGCAGCAGACTAGAGAAGTCAGAGGAAATATTAAAGGTGAAAAGGGGAGGGAACAGGACTTTTTACGGCAAAGTTAGTATCAGGTTTCATATGTGCAGGCTAAGGAATACTATGAATGTTAACTGGTGGTTCAAAAGGTCAAGCTACGCATGGTGCCACAGGATGTCACAGAATAAAACTTTACAACAAAAGCTGTGAGAGTGAAAGAAGGTACCAGAAAGCTGAAGAGTTACTATGTCTTCTAGCACAGGGCCTGGAACCCACAGGAGAGCAACTGATACTCACTGAATGATGGTAGAAATAATTTTTAAAGTTTTTAAGTCAGACAAGGACTCTAATGGTCTTCACAGCAAACAGCAAATGGTGACACTATCATCATGTCACAAATACAAAAGTACCAAAGTTGGTAATTCTCCTTCTTCTTTTTTTTTGGGAGGGGGGAGCATATTGGGGATTAAACCTAGAATCTTGTATGTGCTAGGCAAGCACTTTACCACCAAGCGACAGCCTCAGTTCTCTTTTTACTTAAAAAAAAAAGATTTGTTTTTAATTATGTGTATATGTGTCTGTGCATGAGAATATGCATGTGTGAGTGCAGGTATTTATGGAGGCCAGAAGAAGGCATCTGATCTCCTGGAGCTGGAATCACAGATGTTTGTGAGCTGTCTGATGTGGGTGCTGGGAAGTAAACTCAGGTCCTCTGCAAGAACAGCACACAGTCATTCTGCTGAGCCATCTCTCCAGCCCCTATTTTCTATTTTAAAATTTGGGGTGGAGTCTTATTCAATTGTCCAGGCTGGTTCTGAACTTATTCTGCAGCCCAGTCTGGTCTTGAACTTAAAATCCTCCTGCTTCAGTCTTTTGAGAAGCTGGTATTGTAATCCCAGCTTAATAATGCCTCTAGAAAACTCTGAAGATCCAACTGGCAAAGCATACTAGGTTTCTTCTCAGAGATTTACTTGTGACACAGTGCAAAATAAACTGACACTGATTTTCCGCTTTCCATTACATTTTTTTCCACTTCGAAATATGATTGTTAAATGTAGTTACACACAACTGTGAGATTAAATGAAAATATTTTCCACTGATACAAATTACAGTGAAAGCTTTTATCAGATTTCTAAAGGCTATGAAAAGTATTCTAGTACCTTCTACACCTTGATGTTCTTACTCTGTAACACTTCCTCTGAACACCTGATATAGATCGTGAAGCCAAACTTATGGGGGGGGGTGGGAAACCATTGTTTAAGGAGATCAAATGAGAAAAAGACAAAAAGGAAAGTAAAAAAAAGCAAACCCAGATCTGGTTAAAGAGATGTGAATATAAATGCATACTGTACCTGTAGTCCCAATATATAAATCAATGTCTTGTTTGTGATGGACAACGGGCCCAGAATTTGTGCCACTTGGACTCTTGGTATGGAGCAGTAAAATGGTACAAACAGAGCAAACACGGGTGCCAAGCTATGCAAACAAATAAAGAAAAATCACTCTAAGATTGAATGTAAAATATCAATGGCAGATGGATACTGACAGCAACACTGCTTATATGCATTTCAGGCTGAAAACATAGTCTCAGATATACAATTTAGTTTCAAAAACATGCACCATGGGCAAAATAGTTTGCACAAGAATATATAGCACTTTAAGAAATCAAACTATTCTAACCTGGTTCACCTTCCTCGGATCACTATAAAGTAGTTCAACATCTGCTAATTAATTGTGAGAAAATTTAAGGTAGATACTATGTTTAATTCCCATGAACGGCCTGAAATCTGATGGAAGAGACTAGACTAGACAGCATTAGAATGGTCAAAATAAACAGTCATGTCAGACTTTGGCCAGTGACCTACCACCACAGCACCAGACACTGCTTACCACTCCTGCTTTCTGTTCCTCAAATTTCTTCCTCCTTTTGTATTAAATTCTTTTCCTTGCAGGGTTCTCAATGACTACTCACGCCACCCTATTCTCTCTGGTGCTCCTTTGTTCTTTTCTTCTTGTTCCAGTCTCTCCCTGAACAATCTCAGTCCTCTCTGAGGCTCCAATTAGGGAAATGAGGTAAGTCCTAACACTTTGTAACTCAACCTGACATCTTCCCCTTCATATGTGCAGAAGCCACGTGTGTCCTTCTACCCTTGCTTCACTCTAATGCTTCAACAATGGTAACAGTAGTCTCTTCACAAAACAAGCTCTTACCTGCTAAAGCTCCAGGTGTCTGATCACATTATTGGACTGCCCGAGACCCTTCTTTCCACAGGCTCCCGGTATACCAAACCAAAATTTAAGTATTACCCTGAAACAGCAAAGGCCTGTACTTCTTTATTAACCATTGTGCTCTCCCACAGCTGGCCCTCATACACTAAGTGCTCTCTTGTGGGTCCCTTTCCCTCCCTCCCCTCACTCACACACCCACATCCCTACAGCTGCTTCCTGGACACACCAGGCCTCTTTGGTAGGGTACACAGAGGACAAGCCAGAGCATCCTTTTCACTTAGCAAACTCTTCTCACATTGTCCTGCTCAACTCTTTTGGGGTTTCTCTGACTCCTCCTGGTGGTTAGTAGCCTTGTTCTTTGCCTACAAAGCCATGCCAGTTTGGCTGTTTTGGTGGGCCGATGTATCAGCTGGGCACTGAGCCTGTCAAGAAGGATGCCCAGTACAGGATTCATCTGCACCCCCAAGCACGAAGCAGTCCCTAACAGCAAGGAACCCTTTAGGATTTCAAACTCAAGATTCTTATCAGGGGTGTGTGTGTGTGTGTGTGTGTGTGTGTGTGTGTGTGTGTGT